AATTTACAATTAGTCGGTGTGCTTCATGGTCACCGAAGAGGCGTATGGTGTGTTCGATTTTCGCCAATTGATCAAGTACTTTTAACAACGTCTGCTGACTGTACTATGAAATTGTGGTCTTTAACGGAGCTCAATTGTCTAAAGGTACTTAAAAGAAAAATAAATTGTCTTTTTTTTAATACTCTTAAATCTAATTTTAATTTAATTATTTTTGCTCTTGTCACAGACGTTTGAAGGACACGAATCTTCTGTCTTAAGAGGAGAATTTTTATCACGCGGTATGCAACTAATTACGTCGGGTGGAGACGGTCTTCTGAAATTGTGGAATATCAAAACATCCGAATGCATATCAACTTTGAACCAACACGAAAGTCATGTTTGGACGCTCGCAGGTGAGCCTGTTTAATCTTTGGGTATAAAAATGTATAAATACAAGAAACAAAATGTGAACATTTGAAAAATTTACTTGTTATCCAAGGTTTAGCATACTTGTTATATTAAGTATGCTAAAAGATTTTAAGGAGTGATTTTTCACACAAATTCAAGACGAAAACTTCTTATGACCATTTATCCCAAATGATTTAGTTTCTAATGTCCGACACAAAAAAAATATAACATTTTATTTACAAAAACGAAGTTGACCTTAAAATCTCTGAAATATTTCCACTTATACACCACGTAATAACTCCCTCAAAGTCATACAACTTTTGTATATAATTTTTCATACAATGCATATAATAAGTATTACAAATTTTTTAAGCTGTGCAAGTTAAATGCTTTACCCTGTGTAAGCAACTGAAAGATGTTTTGTTAAAAAAATAATATAACAATTTATTAATGACTACTTAAGCGTTGCATGACTATTTCCACAAGAAGTGAGAATTTGTATTAAAAATAAATGATAGACTTCTTATTAATAAAACAAGTATATTTTTTATTTATATTGTTTTGTCCATTTATTGTGTATGATATACGTTTTTAACGGTTAGTATATTGTTCATGTAGTTACAAAAGATCAGAAACATATTATCAGTGGAGGTAGCGATTCATTACTAGTTATTTGGAGAGACGTAACTGAAGAAAGGAAAGCGCAAGACGCATCGGAGAAAGCACAATTTGTGCTTGAAGAGCAAAGGTTGGCCAATTTACTCAAAGCTGAAGAACTGCAGGCTGCATTAAAATTGGCTTTAAAACTACAGCGACCATTACAAGTGCTCAAAATCATAGAAGGTAGTTATTTCGCATTGATTTTATTGTAAACTTTTTCAGTGTTACACATTCGGTTTGTACGCACTACTGTATCAATGTGTTCAAATTGTCGTATTCGACAAGTGAAAAAATGACCCAATGTAATGCTGAATTTATATTTGGACCAACCGAACGAACTGAATGAGTTCAAGAAATGTTGCACTAATGTTTCTGAATTCTGACAGTGCAGTTTGATATAGCACCAAAGTAGTTCTGCACTCGCACTGCATTAGAGCAGCATAAGTGCAGAGTGCATGTGTACCGATTCGTTATGTTATATTGATATGTGTACCTGCATGCATACGTGCAGGGTTGGGTAAGTTGACTTTTTTTAAAATTAAGTTAAGTTAATGTTAACAGCCTTCAAAAATTTAACATAATTAAAATACAAGTTAATCCATAATAAATTTAATTGAATTAAAAGTTAAGTTAATAAAAAAAATTAATTGAAAAGTTAAAAGCTAAATGTGATCCGAACAAATAACCAAAAAAAAAAAGAAAAAGAAAAAGTTTGACTCTATATAATTTTATTTTACATAATTTTTTATATTTTTCCTTTCTAAAAATATATTTATTTAAAAAATCTGGTTATTTTTTTGTTCATAAGTAATGATTATACAATTTTATATTTAATTTTATATTTAAAATTACTATATTTAAAATTATATACTTATTATCCCCTTGCATTGTGTCTGAGGATTTACTTAAAAAAAATCAAATTAATAGTTACCGATAAAATTTAACTAAATTTAGTTAAATTAATTAATTTTTTAACTTTTTAACTTAACTTTTATCTTTTTGACTTAGCACTACCCAACCCTGCATACGTGCATATAGATACACATATACATATATGCGTCCAAATATTTTGTAAAATTATTATAACATTTTTTTGTAACAGCTATATCGAAGAAGACGAACAACGAGTTTACAGAAGTAATAAAGGAATTAAAACCAAATCATAAGGAAACGTTACTCAAGTGTGCAGTTACATGGAACATGAACAGTCGAAACTCGCTTGCTGCTCAAGTATAATATGAAATTTAATAATTTCTGTTTAGGAATTGAACAATTTTGATAATTATACTCTAAATTATGTTTACATCTGATATATTTTCTGAACAACTGAAAATATGAGCAAATGTTGAAATACGTTTATTTTGAGAAATTAACTTTTTTTATTAAATAATTTTCCGTGGTCTTGTGAAAGAGGTGGATAAGCGACAATTCAAAAATTTTTAATGACGTAGAAGTCAGTTTAAATTACTTTTTATCATATTCTAGTTGTAAGAATTAGAAAAAGATAAAAAACAAATTAAATATTAAGGTTAAATCAGATTAAGAAATTAAAATTAATAGATTGAAATTTATCAGATTACTTGATTAGAATTTTATCTATCCGCGCGCGCGCGAATGCGTATTTTGAATAACAAATTTTTTTTTATTGCGTTGGATTAAATTGGATTAAATTGGATTCAATAGGATTTAATTGGATTGAAAAACTACATTTTCTTTTCATAATCTTAAATTGAGAAATATTTACGAGGCACAAAAAAGCTGATATTATTCTTAGATTAAAAGGCTTAGAAATGTATTTCACGCTATATTATATAAATGAATTAAAAATGCATTCGGATTAAAAAGATTCATTTTAACATTTGCGAATGCACATTTCTGAAAATTAATATATTACATTTCATTCCGTTTCAATCCATTTTCGTTTACTGGGATATTAAGTTTTATTTTTTGTTTTTTAGATTTAGTTCCATTTGAAGAGTTTCAAGTTTTCTAAAGAAACTCTATCTATTTATCTTTTTATCTATTTATCTTTTTGATTATTGATAGTTAAAATTAAGTAACTGCTGTTTAGAAACAGTAAAAGAACACGTGTTCCGACATTTTTTGACATTTTCAACTGTTTCGGGACAAAGGATGCAAACAAATATTAGAGATCTTGTATAATAAAAATTTAATAATTTAATTAAAAATTTTTTTTCATGTTAACAAAATTTCCGGTCTACTAAAGAAAACATTTTTTTCATGCATGCAAATATCTTTAAATACTCTTTATCTTTTCATTTTTTTATTATTTCTAGGTAGTTATAAACGCTTTAATAACAGAAATCGGAACGCAGGAGCTGCAGACACCAAATTTATCTTCTACTCTAGAAGTTATGATGCCTTATACCGACAGACATTTTAAAAGATTGACAAAACTTTTGCAGGATCTGTATTTATTAACGTATACTTTTAATCGTATGAAACCTGATATTATATCAATTGGCACTAAATAAAGTTATACATATAAATGATATACATATATTATGTATATGTAAGTGTACAAATTCTATTAATATAATATGTAAGTTGTACAAATTCTATTTTTTGACTGTTATGTATCGTATACGAATATATATAGGGTAGCCCATATAAAGTGTTATAAGCTATTATTTCTGAAAATATGTGTGAAATGAAAAATATGTTCAGCCAAAAGTTTTATGATTTCAAAGGGGACAAGTTGGAACCATTAATTTGAATTTGGGTGGCCTTGCCAAGGTCAGGACAACGTTACTTTGACCTTTTTGAATAAAACTCCTCTATTTTTCATTACATATTCTTATAGCATACCTCAAGAGTTTTCCAAAATACTATAATATATTTTATGAAGTACTTTTCGAATTATAAGGTTTGAAAGTTATAGTGTCGCCGGCATTTGTATTATCCAAGATGTCCAAACAATGACTAAAACCTTTTGAATGTTGTTCAAGATCAAACCTTGATAATATTTGTTAAGATCAAGATTATTAGAGATTATTCCTCTTACTTTCATTTTTGCACTAAAAATTCATTTCTACATAAAATTAAAAAAATAAGAGGTAGATAATAACTTCTAATGGTCTTGATTTTAACAAATGCTATTGAGATTATAATCCTAAACAACATTAAAAAGGTTTTAGCCGTTGCATTTGGATAATATTAATCCACCGGCGATCTTATAACTTTCAAGCCTTTTCAAACCTTATAACTTGAAAAGTATTTTATAAAAAAAAAATTTTATTATGTTTTAAAAAGCTTTCGAGGTGTGCTACAAGAATATGCAATGAAAAATAAGGAATCTCATTAAAAAAATTCAAATTAACCTTGCCTTGAACTTAACAACGCCACCCAAGGTCAAATTAATAATTTCATCTCATGTTGCCCTCGAAGTAACAAAATTTTTATCTGAATATATTTTTTATTTAACAATACTTTCAGAGATAATAACTTGTAACATCTTGCGTGCGTACGTGCGTGTTTGTGTGTGTGTTGCGCATAGATATATTCTCTAGAATATATATATTAAATCATTATCTGTTCTACATCTGTTCTACATTAAATATTAAATTTTTTAATAGACTTTGTTTTTGCAGTAATTAAGTCATGCAATAATATGATAATACTAGGTATACGAGAATATATCTGTATGCGTAATCATGCAGCAATAAAACTTAAGTTCACGAGGTTTTCACGGAGATAAGAGAGAAATTTCATCGCACAGATATATGAATCATCGAGTATTATTTAGAATTTTTCAGCATCTTTTCGCAACGCGAATGAGTAATGATTATACATGATGAATTCCGAGAAGTTAGTCAAGCCGAGAAGTTAGTCAAGATCTGATATTAAAATCACGCATTGAACTGCGTGCATTAATTAAACGATTATGTGTAAATTATACGATTATGGATAAACGCGAGAATTTTCAATATAAGTCTTAGACATATAATGAATGTGTGCATTGATGTCATAGGTTGCTACATGAGAATGTACGTATATATATATATATGTATGTATTACGTGTGTGCATGTGCATGTATGAGTTCAAGCAGGAGCACCATGAGAGTGGGAGCAAGCTTTGGTCTGCCTATCTGGTTTTCAGTAAATTTACTTGCCCGACCACACTGGCGGATTACAAGGAAAGATCAGTCGGAATCTATTAGTGGTGCTGTTAAGTGACAGAAAAGGGAGTACTTGAGAATGATTTTCGGAGAAAAAGTCTTCGTTCTAATACTCCTCGTTTACTTATTAGGAGTACTATTACTCACGGATGCAATCAAAGTGTAAGCTGCACTTAATTTTATTACTAATGGAAAAAGAAAGAAAGGATAAAAAAATATATAAAATACATAGCGCAATCACAAAAGCAAGCGCATGATTCGCAAGGATACACAATTTTTTACAGACAAGAAAAGACAAGGATTATGTAGATGTGTATCTGTCTATCTATCTATCTTTATATATATATATATATAAAACACTCAGTATCTTACATTATAAAATTATTTTATATATGTATATACATAATAAAACATTATATTATATTATATAAAATGCACATGTCCCAGTATTGCATGTAATTTAGATTTGGATATAAAAAGTTTATGAGGCACTATCTATTTAAAAAAAATCTGTTTATTAAAATTTTCAGTTTATAGTTTAACAAAATTTTAATGAATATTGAAAATTTATTTTTATCTTGAGAGATAAGGCAGAGCGGTTCTTTCAACATCAAGCATTGATGGTTTTTACGAGATTTCCATAAATTTCGTAAAACCGCGCGTGTCGTTATCCTTCCACGCTAAAAAATACCGCATCAAAACAGAAAAAAATAAAAATGTATTAATGCTGACATGTTCGATCTTTATCCTCGTTTCTCGTCTGCAAATAATGTATCTTTTTACGTAAGCTGGGCGTATACATTTGTGCGTCCGATGTAAGAAAACGCGACATCGAGAGATAAAATCCGCTTGAATACTATTCTTAACCTTGCAAAATTTTATAGCCGTTTTCAAACAATTATCAGTGCATAACATTTGACCTTCTCGTAAATGCAATCGATCGGCCAGTTAACGAATTGTAGTAAATTACCGTAAATTATATTGAAAAGAGCGAAACTGTTTCTTTGTACGGTGCGAAAATAATCGATTGCTTTTTCCAGCAACGAGATAAAAACCAATAGACTTTAACAAAAGTTATTTCAATGTTTGCAGCAGACTATTAATTGTTCGATTCATATTTGTACACTTACGAGAATCATCAGTTTCATGTTTTATTTCCATGATAAATAAGCATTCAATCCAATTTACACCTGTTCAAATAACAATATTCAAATTTAATTTTTGCAACTCTATCATGCGCGCATCCGGGTGCCGACACATACACACACGCAACATACGTTTGATTATTATCAACTTATAAATATTGATTTGATGCTTATTTTAATATCTTAATTATCATTTAGCATTATAAGTAAATCAATTGAGTAAAATTCAAATAAAAAGGGGAGATATTAAGAAACAGGATGCAAAATACAATATATGTTTACATGTACAAAGCATGTATCTCAAAAACACGAACCATATAGCGCTATTCTTGGTCAAAAACTGAATTTAAAATTTATGAATCATTTTGCAATGTTTGCAATTTTTTTTAATCATCCCATAAATAAAATGTCTAAAATCGACGCATAAGACTCATTCTATTGTACTCAGCATATAGAACGCAGGTCGCAAGTCGTAATATAGTGAGCTACAAGATGCAGGACGTATCAAAGTTCAATTTTTGCGTTTTGCGCCGATGTGGACGCGTCAATCAAGACATGATCGCGAGAACGGTCAATTGTTGTCATGCAATGTCAGATTGAATGACAGATTGCTCGCTACGAATCTATGTAGATTACATAGACGCAAAAATTTTACGATATGCGACCTACGTTCTGCGTCCTGCGCTTTGCGTTCAGTATTTTGCATTCCATGTAGAATGAGCTTAAGACAAAAAAAATTTTTAAGAGAGCTTATCTTTAAGATATTTCATACAGAACACTTAAAAATATCTTAAAATTGTCTTATTCGCCGATTTTACTCGCTTATTTGACAATCTTTAGAAACTAATATCTCGTTAATTATTGCGAAAATTGCAAAATGATTCGTTAGTTTTAGACTCAGTTTTTTGATGAGGAATACATTAAAAGATATGCTTGATTTACGTTCCAGTCTTAACTCTAAAATCAGCCAGTACGGCTGCCAGTTCTAATTGGTCCTAACTGATATCTGTATCCATTGGCTGAATTTTAGGATTTTAAGATTAAGATCGAAACATAAATTAGGCATTTCTAATCTAAAGGCTAAGTTAAAAGTTAAATTAAATTGAAAGTTTTATTTAAAAACATATTTAACTAAATTAAAATAATTATTACTATAATTTGTATAATATTAGGTTTTTTAACGATTAAGAATCAACTACAATATACAGGATGTCTCAGAAATAAGGTAGGAGCCGCATTGGGGGCATAGATTGAGTCAAGGGGAACAAAAAAGTCATTATCATGTCACATATCATTTTGAGATATTCGCTGTAGTTTTCGAATTAAAAAAGGAAAGAACATATCAGCCAATGTGCGATGAAGCCGCGTGAATTCATAGCCTCTCGGCGGCGTGCATTGTCACAATGTTGACAGTTCTGAACGCCATATTGGACTAAGAAATGGTAAAGATTTCAATTTCGAAATTAAATGTTTTACATTCTCAGTACAACTATAAAATTCTACCTCATAGATACATATTAATGCGTATACTGGAAAAGAATTTTGAAAATTGAGAAAGAATAAAGTAATTGTTACATAAAAATTATTGCGTTTAGTCAATAAAATAGACGACTTTAAGATCGTCTTAAAGACGTCTAAAAGATGATTTATGAAGATATTTTTACCTTTTAAAAGACGTCTTATAAAGACTTCTTATGTCCCGATTTTAGACTTTGTGTTACCTGGATAGGTAATTATAGAAATATTTATATTGTGCAGAACAGTCTTCTATTTTGCATGTCATAATACGTCACAGAAACTTAATCTTAATTGGTACACACAATTCCATGAGAATATGTAAATATGGCGATATCTTATATTAACTAAATATTTGGCGAGGATATGCAACGTTGTAAATTCAAGTAGCATACAAGATAAGAACTTAATACATAGCGCGGCGCTCCTTTGTGGATGTTATTTATAAATGAAGCACATGTGTTCGATAGAGCACCAAATTACTTTTCGCAAGAGATATAACAGCTCGTATTATGTGGATCATAACATAACAATTTTTCTCTAACAATTGTTTCGCAAATTTGTTTTGATAATCGATACATTCCGACACTTGAAAATTATATTTTGAATTAATTAACTCGTCATAAGAATATGAACTTTCAATTATCACGGAAGACATGTGCAGAATCAATAGTGATAGAAGAATTAGTTTCAATACACATTTATCTATATTTCCGGTATCATCTTTATAGATGCGTCATTCACATCGGTACAAAGAGATAATGAATATACATACTTTGGAGACACTCGCGAAGAAACAAGATCTAGAATATTAATTCGAGTCGCTTTTTTAAAGGCGTGTCAGTTGTGTAACATACGTTGCTATAAATTGTCTATTGCATTTAAGTTTTATAAAACCGCACTCTTTCTATCAGCATCAAATTACACAAATGTACAAAAAAGAAATCCTAAAGAAAAAGACAATTTTTTTATATATATATATATTTTTTTTTTTCACATTTAATACAAATGTTTGCTTTTACATCCTATAAATATTTTGGAATATGTCAGAATATTTTTGAATTTTAAGATTTTAGGAATATTTTACGAATATTTCAAGCATTAGCTGGGGAATCTATAAAAAAATGCATGTGTGCAATAATATGACTCTAAATGTAAATTAAGTTTACATAAATAGAACAGAATTAATATTTTATAATTGAAGCGAATTCAATATATTTATTTCATATATTCAATATATTTATTATGTAGACCAGGAAATTGCCCATCATTTGGTAGTTCTATGACGCAAACGGAACTTCTGCAAGAATTGGCAAATGAATGCCGTTACGATAAGATGGTCAGACCACCCGGAGTAATTAATGAAACGGATCCGATCAGAATTTACACCAAAGCTTTTATCTACACAATAAGGTCCAACATGGCCAAAACTCTGGTACCTGCATAATTTTACTTATACTTAGCTATGTTAATGCATCGTCGAGGAATGCTAATAGAAAAGAAACATTATATTACAGCGATTTGATGTGCATTTAATGATGCAGTTTCGATATTTGGATAAACGGCTTAAATTCACGGATATAGCTCCTTATTTGACTCAAATATACGGTGGTCAAAACGCTCATAAACTAATTTGGACGCCTACAGTGTACGTTGCGAACGAGCGTACTTCGGCGGTAATGGGAAATGGCGTCAAAGATCTACTCATCTCTATCAGTTCTCACGGCATGGTCATATTAAACACTAGGTATTTAATATTTACTCTCGATGAATTGTGCGGTTAAAGCAGGGTTGGTAAGTAACGCGTTATTTATAACACGATTATCATTTTTGTAACATATTTAGCATGACGGTAACGAATTTAGCTGACATTATTTTATATAATTTCTTATTATTTTTATACATAGATATATATCTAATTAATAGATCGTATTATTTAATTTTAATAAAAATTTAAACATAGAAAGACATTTTGTATTTTATATCTTATTGTTAGACTGCATTCTGATAGTCACTGTCAATACCGAAAATTTGTAGTGTGCATATGTGTATGTATTAACGTAAACTATAAACTTTCAATATTAGCAGTGAATACTGGAATGCATTCGAAATAACGTCAATAATGTTTAAAAAGTATTTTATAAAAATTTTTAATAAAATTTATGTTTATATAAATTACAATTTGCTTTGATAGAAATAAGCATACTTTGAAAAAGAAAAATGTTAATATAAAGAATTATCGAAAATTTATTAGGTATATAAGTTTAATATAAAGATATGTTTGCTGTAAGATTAGCTTAAAATTTAAATAAACATGAATGATAACGTTCGATGATTTGCAAAGCAATATTAAAATCTTGATAACGACCAAAACTAATAAACGAGCAAAAAGGGATGTTAGAATAAAAATGATTTAATTATAATTAAATCATAAAAATAATTTCGTAAACGTTTCAACGCACAGAGTGTGAGCTTCATCAGTATGGTATTAATACAATAATATTAATTAAAATATTAACATCTATAGTCATCAATATGTCGAAATGAGGTAACATTCTAAAAATATCATTCATCCTCTTCAAGATAATTACAATCAAAATAGTTATTGTCATATCATATCTAAAAGAGAATATATAATAGTTAAAATAATTCAAATTAAATCCCATTTGATTTTTACGTATTAAATCGTTTGATTTTTATGTATTAACAATAATTAAATCATTTTTATTCTAACATCTCTATTTGCTTGTTTATTAGTCAAGATTTTTATATTGCTTTTAAAATTTGAAGTTTTAATATTGATTTTTACAATTAATATTAATTATTAAATAATGTAATTATTTAATGTAATATCCTATTTTAACATTACAAAAAAGTAATGACAAAGGAATGACTCGTTACTTGCTAAGTAATGGTAATAAATTATTTTTTTAAATTAGTAACGAATAATTTTTAATAAATTAGTAACAATAATTTTTGTACAAAAGTAACAGTTGCTTTATAAAGTAACATTTCCAATCCTGGGTAAGAGATGCATCCGGATGAATTTTATACCTGGCCAATTTTCTTCATATTTTGTTTCTACACTAATTTTGAACATAACTGGTCAACGACAGATTACTTAATGTTCGTTTAAATTTCAGATTGGAAACTACCCTCAACTGCGGCCTTCGATTAGAGAAGTTTCCATTCGACGTGCAAGAGTGTCCGCTAGTGTTTGAAAGCTGTAAGTTATCAATTTATTAAGTATCAAAATTCAGCTTATAATCAGATCGAATAAGGAATTTCTTTGTTTATTTATATAATTCACATGTCGGTCTGTTCCTTTAGAGATTATTGCTTAATATTAATATTTATTAATAATAATTGGACAATGATTTTTAAATTGTATTATTTATATCATTATCTGAATAATTTATTATTAATTTTATTATATTTGTCGTTATACATTATACATAATAGCTTTTTGGTATATAATTTTCCTATTCTATAAGTATGAAATAAATTACTGTAATTATATATGATATAAATAAATAAATAAATAAATAAAAATATATATATATATATACTAGTATAGTATAGTTACACATATAAAAAAAAGGATAAATGTAAAAAAATACAAAATATAAAAATATAAAAAGTCTGAACAACGAAGATGTCAATAAAAATCGAATGTAAGAAAAATGCAAAGAAACGCGAACGGAAGAAATGTTTCTTTCTAAAGGGACTCACAATGTGAACGAAATGGTGCTAGACTGGGATGAAGATCCAATTGTCATCGCGGATAATTTATATCTAACGGAGTATAAACTTATGGACATGTGGGTTAATCGCTCCGGAATAACTTATACTCCATCGCAATATCATTATGGGCATTTTGGTAAAGTACAATCGATTTATATATATAAGGAATCCTAAAGTGGTCTGTTTTACCAATTCTCTACAGCACGAAATATTGCAGCAATACTGGAACAATATTTTAATATTGCACAATGTTATAAAAATTGTAGCAATATTGCTTCAATATTGGAATTTAAATATTATATTGGAAATATTGCAACAATATCGTAAAATATTGCAATTTTAATAGGAAATATTGTAATATATTTCTGTAATATTATAATTCAAAAGGCAAGTAAATCATGAAATGAACGCACTTCTCATAAGAAAAAAAACGTTTAGGAAGGCTATAAAAAGGCATGTGCAGAATGAATTAGCGAGTATCCTGAATATTCTCAAACTCTTTCGGGTGTGCTTTCTAGGTCCCTGAATGTTTTTTTATTCATAACTTTAATATATATATTTTGTATTGAAATGTGATGCTAAGCAATAATATTTTAGCAATCAATAAAAATGGATTAATGAATGCATTATTGAAATATTGCATAATATTGCAGAAATATCATAATTCTTCTTCTTAGTCCTATTGTCCTATGGCCGAGCGTGGTGACTTCTCTTATATATATGTATCTGTGATGCGCACGCTAATTGTACACAGTCATGGGACTTACGTAGTTTAACGTTGATTCCAAACGACGATTTAGAAGAGAATTTTCTAAGAACAAATATATTACTCGGTGGTTTGCCATTGCTTTTTGAGAGGAACTACGAGCGTACGAAAATTTCTCGGTTCTGTCAGGAATCGAACCCGGTATCTCTAATATAGCAGACAAGTGCGCTGTCTGCTCCGCCACGCTCGTGCTCAATCGCAGAATATTGTAGGAATGTTTGATTTTAGTTGATACAGGAATGCAACAATGTTTCATAAAATATTGCAATCTTTCAAAGTAATATTGCAATGTTGTAATATTTCGCGCTGTAAGGGATTGTGCGTTAATAAGCAAGAAAGCGACATAACGGACTGAAATGCACGGTTGTACTTTTTTTTATCCAGTCAACGGAGTCGAATCCTCGCATTGTTAATTTTTCTTTACGTAATAATCATATTTTATAATGTAATTAATTTTTCTTTCTCTCTTTTAAGTAAAAATACTAATATCTGATCTTTTTTTTAGAAAATCTATTTAATTCCGTTACATATAAAATTTAATATAAACATTTATCCAAAAAATATATATAAACATTTCGAACTCTATCAGGTCATCATCAATATCACGATGGCGAAATGATTATAATTATAATAATTCATAAAAAAACATTAAACCTGAGTCTGTTAAAATTACAATATTAGTCACGTACACTGAGAAACAAATGCTATTGATTCAATTAAAGTTTATATTACGAGCTGTCGTTAATATAAGTAATTAATTCATGTATATTTTTATTGACATAAAAAATGACTTTAATTATTGAATAATCAAGGCTTTTATGTCAATAAAAATATACATGAATTAATTACTTATGTTAATGACAGTCCATAATATGGACCTTAATTGAATCGATAGCATTTGTTTCTCAGTGTACATGACTTAATATTGTAATTTTAACAAATTCAGGTTTAATGTTTTTTTATCGCAGTGTAGGTATGTCAGCACATAGATGTTACCGCTCGTACCTTCAGTTTTATAGATCGAATTTATTGACTTATTACTCTCTAATCATCTCCAACGAAAATAATTACTCCTTTAGTTGTACTGTTATCAGTTCCTTTATTATCATCATGTCACAAGAAGTCGTAAATTCTATTACATAGATATGCGTAATTGGTTACACTTTATTCTCGTTATTATAAAGAATTTAAAAATTTTATTACATACACTTGTGCCACACAATAATTGTCTGAAATTTTTATTACTTTTTTTTTTTAAAGATTTGTTAGTGCGTCAAGTTGATGATGGAAGTCGCACTTGTAATAATTAATATATAAGAAACAAGACATCTTAACTGAGAGCACATTGAAAACTGGAAAGGGTAGGGAGTAATAAAAGTGTGAGTTTGAAATCTGTGTTATGTGGGGGAATGGCTCGTTAAAATGGGAAGGTAAAAATCTTCGGTAATCTTTCCGTGTCACTTTATAATTCAAATCATATTTTAGCTTCTATCTCTAAACAGCGTATATAAAGGGAAATCCTTGGAGGAGCAGTTCAATATCAGACTGCTTTTCGTCCTGATGAACTGCAATGTTCGCAAAATATTGGTATTTTAATAATGGATTTGGATACGTAGATAAACGCGAAGCGTAGCTTTTTTGTATAGAAAATTTACATGGAAGTCTTAAAAGTTTTATTAAATTTTTCCACAGGAAAAGTATTGTTATTAAAGTAAATACTTTCAGCAAACTTAGATCTTCCTTCGCTCAAAAAACTGTCAAATTTAGCGTTTTTCAAACTGTGGGGATAATAATATCATCCCAAAGTTCCTCCAATTCAAAGGCCACTAGGAATTCGTAAATCAAAAGGACATCCTCCATAAAACTGATCTTATCCTGACTAAAAAACGCATTCACTTCACTAAATCACAAATAATCCATAAAATCTTTAAACTTCACATATTCCTGTCCTCAAAATTAAGGAACAATATTTATTGGCAAACCTCTTAAGTCATATTATATACGAACAAGCTTTGAATACCCACACACAACATATAGAGCACATAATTGATATGTCGATGATATATTGTTAGAGCTAAAAAAAAAAAAAACAAATGAATGAAAGTTTAGAAAAGTTCAGTTCTTACTATGAAAGAATATAATTCACTATAGATATGAATGAGAATAACAGTATTAATTTTTTAGCTGTAAAGATGATAGTGGATGATAGAAAAATTAATCTATAAAATTTAATTTATACACGGAGCCTACCAACTCTTTCAGATATTTACATTTTGATTCAAATTATTCAATTGAACGTAAGAATATAACATAATCGAATATGACATAAAAAGCGCCATTGTCAGCCTTTTTGAAGAAATCTTCATACTTTCATATTTATATTTTTATCCCAAAAACATACAATCTCTGACATCTTATCAAATAATGGGTATCTACTACAGCTCATTTTTGCAACTACCAATAATCCGTATCAGTGCTGTCTCACAAAAATGTCATAATGAGATGAACAAGAAACAGAACACAAGTAAGGATCCAGTAACATATCTTACACTATCTTTTTTACAAAATCAGAAAAGTTTGGGATGCTGATTTCCTTAGGGGGATTCTAAAGCCGTTTGTATTACCGATTTATTAAGACTTACACACATATGATTTACATGTCATTGAAACATCACTACACACTACTACATCCATGTCGTATTCACATATACGTAACAAACTTTTTAATTAATTTTTAATATTAGATGTCAATGTTAGATGTTTTATATTAGATGTCTAAACTTAATTCTAAGAACACAACATTGTCTGTTTATGTAATCCCTAGTCTAAACCATTGTCTTATGCGTACAAAGTATAAAACTCGTATATAAAGCAGATATTTGTTGCGAGTCGACATCAGAAGCCGATAATAAAACTGTTTCTATCTTTTTTTCATTTTTGAAATAAGTCGACCAGTTTGGACTACATTATTGTTTATTTTAATTGTGGAAAAGAATTTTTTAATCTATATATAATAGTAGTTAAAAAAATACTTACTTGAAAAATAATCGGTAAAACAGACGACTTTAAGATCTCCTTAACGCTTGATCTAATAAAGAAATAAAAATGCTGTTGAATGTAATAAAAAATATAAGTACTATTGAATGTAACTGTCATTAAAATAAATGGCATAATGATTGCAGCCGGCAATTTCAGTTCGATAAATATCACATTTAAACTAGCCCGTGAAATGGGATTCTTTATGATGGATTATTATATACCATCTATATTGATTGTTGTGATTTCGTGGGTGTCTTTTTGGTTACATCAAGATGCGAGCGCACCACGAATAGTTTTAGGTAAAATATATTTGCTTTCTTCTTAATATTCTTCATTAAGTTCTTGTTAATATTAAATAATAATACATGTAATATATATATATATATATATACCTGTACGACTTTTATTCTTTTAGGCACAAATACTATTTTAGCATTTATGACACTCGCATCGAAAGTTGAAAATTCATTACCGAAGGTTTCTTATATAAAAGCGAGTGAAATTTGGTTTTTGGGTTGTACAATATTTTTGTTTGCGGCAATGGTCGAATTTGCCTTTGTCAACACCATATATAGGAGGAAGTATGTAACATTTTTGTCGAAATTTCACACGCTTACAATTTCGTTTATCATTCGATAGAAGTTATTTAAAAATACTGTATTATATTTGCACAGAAAAAACGTACCATTGAAAAAAGTTAACAGCAAGTACATTCTTAAATCAACCTTGACGCCACGTTTGGCAAGAAAACAATTTCAGAAGAATACCACCGGTTTGGAACGATCCCGATCATGGTCATCGTTAGACAATGCGAGTACGAACAACGAGCAAGACTTCACAAGTCAGAATTATCTCACCGTACACGTGAGTCTCTGATTAAATAATAATTAAAGCAATATCTTTAACATCGTAAATAATGTGATTGTACTGAAAAATATTATTTTTGGAAAGAAATATGTAGCTTTATTTTAGGTAAAGATTATCATATTTCAAGAATCTTAAATAAAATCATTTTCACGTTTACCATAGCAGAATGTTATAGCGGGACAAAAAATGTATATATAATTTTATTAATTTTTGGGATGCTAAATTTTGGGGTGCTAAAGTATATAATTATCGATAAGTGCTATTTTTTCTTAAAAGTCAATATGCGAATGTTCTTGTAGGATTCGTGCAATTACTTAGTCTAACTGTTCATTTCTGCAAAATTTGTTCCGACTTGTCTTTTATCAAAAGCATCAATAGGAAAGGTAGCAAATAATTAAATATTTATGGCTAGCAGAATTAAAATGAGTAGTGAGAGAGAGGGGAGGAGGGAGGGAGGGAGAGAGAGAGAATGTCTTTTTCCTGTAACATATAAATATATACATACTGTGTTGTATATCTGTTTATGATAGCTGATCACGGGGGGCATCTCACGTAAACACTTGCTATAACAGTGATTTGGGGTCCCTGTTTGTCTCTTGTATTTATCTGCTGATACGTTAATTGGTTTTTATTATAATTTAAAAATTAAAAGTTCTGGAACAAATTTTTGCTTAAAGTCTTAAAGGAATGATCGTCTCAGAATGTGCTAAGAAATATGACCGTAGAAATATGACCGTATAAATATGATCGTATTTTTTGTTATTTCCAGAGTTTTCCGAGCGCGCTCAACATCCCATCAGTAACGATACAAGAGGATAAAGATCCAAATTATTCCGTTGGTAGCACCACAACCATCGACAGCACCCCCCCACCAGCTAAATCATTTACACGCAGGTCAACTCTAGCTAAGTTACACAATTTCACAACAATGACACCTCAACAGATCGCTCAATGGATTGATAAACGCAGTAGAATAGTATTTCCTATATCATTTATCATATTCAACATCCTGTATTGGTCTTTTATATGGATCTAAAATTGTACTGTGCAATGATCAATTTTAATTAAATCTCCGTATTTTAAGTCTCGAAGCACAATAGTAAACTAACCGTTAGATATTGATCAATCGCAGTCACATATGAAGAAAATGATCAAGTATGATTGGTTGATTCCTACGATTAAAGATATACCTATTGTACTTTGGGTCTTAGTCCAGATAGCTAAATTTGTCTAAAACAGATTTTGTAAGATAATTTTTTTAGACAGATTAGCAGCAAAACATAACACAAAATTTGTTAATAGTGTATTTTAATTTTCTGCACTTGTGCAGACTAAATAACAAATACGAAACAGCACAAGAAATACGAATCATAAGATGTAGAAATTAAAAGTATTAAGCGTAGCAAAGTTCAACTAAGTTTAACTTGATAGATACGTTCCACGAATAACGAAATTTGAAACGGCAATAATTAAGATGGAACTGAGATAAAAAAATTTATAGAAGATATTACGAGTGCGAAAATTGTAACATTTTAAGAAATTTAATTCCCAATAATTTTCAGTTACTATAGAAAAATAAAGAACGTACAGAACCTAAATTTATATTAATAGATGCAATTGTGAACTTTATTCTCTCAAAACATATCATTTACATATAAGCGATTTGAACAGATTCACGCACACAAATAAAAAATTAATGAAAAATATTATGTCTAAAATTACAGTTAACATACTTCTTATTGGCAACGTCGATACATAATTCTCCAAAATAGAATTAAGAAGATGAGTGCTCGTATATTTGTGCTCCTCTTCCTCTCGTTGCAGTCCTATATATTTATCATTTTATTCACGTACTCTTTCCCATTGCGATCCTATATTTAGCAAAGCCCTATACTTGCATAATGATGAAGAACTGTTCGACTTACAATTAGTTTATACCGCTCTATCTATTCATGAGAGCCAATCTCGTAGAACGGAAACACTGTATATTTCGAATAGAATTTTCCTCGGAAAAGACGTTTTGGAATGTACTCTTAGCTCTGGTTTACTTCTTTCCGAGTTCTGAATTCTCTTCTTTTCCTGCATTCGATTCGCAGATTCCATATTGGGGGCAATATTTGACTTTCCAAGAGTTATTAGATTTATCATAATCTCGTGATCTTTCGTACGATTTCAAACTTCTGTTCAAAGAGGACTGGAATTGCCATTCATTTCACTTGCGTTATCTCTTTTCTCACGAGTTTTCTGTGTTGGTTCCATGGTTTATTTAACAAATTCTGACGATAACATTTTCGTGAAAGAAAATTATCATAGAGTCTTTTGGACATAACAGAATCGAAAAATGATTAGAAAGGAAGAAATTCAATTGTATTAATTTAACAGTTGGGTTGATTTTAAGATATAAGTATGCTGCTATTTCTATTTGCAATGTACACGCAAGATGCCGGACAAGATTTTATAAAGAATAAAATTGTTTATGGAATACCAATTTTACAAATATTATCAACATTTGTTGTGAAAGTTTCGTCTCGGGGTGGGCTCTCTTATATATCGTACAAATATAAGAAATATATTTAATTATTATATAAAATAAATATAAAATAGCTTTATACACATGATTACCTTTTCCTATACGATTTTACAAAGTTTTGTTTTGCATATTTTTTAATTATCTGCAGTTTACATTTTCAAAAAGAATCTGATTTTATGCTTTGCTACAATATATCATTTTTAATTATAATATTATATAATGCTAACGCGTCGTATGTTTAACTGACACGCGCAATGTATATTCCCGGATACTTTGAGAAAGAGAAATACTTGAAAAAAAAGTTTCTCTATCTAATCCTCCGGACTGTTTTTCTGCAAATACTATAATTTATTGTCAGTCCATACTTATAAGATCGTCATCTAGATAGAATATATTTAAATGCTGAAGTGCGCGTTTATTGACTCTCGCACGCACGATTCATGGACTGATAGTCGTCTAAATGTAATCTGTAAGTGGCTATATTGAACCCTTATATCTTAAAAATTACTGCTTGAAATAAATGTACACATGACATTTTTATTTAACTTTTTGAAAACTTTCTTATCCATGTCATCAAACGTCTTGCTAATGATTCTCATTAGTCAGTTGTCGTCGACTGCGGAAGAATTTTCATTCGTTTCTCCCGTACAAATCGCATTGAATTAAAATCACGCATTGAATTGCGTCCATGTTACACAATTATGCGTAAATTATACGATTATGGATAAGCGCGAGAATTTACAATATAAGACTTAAACATATAATGAATGTGTGCATTGATGTCATAGATTGGTACACGAGAATATACATACTTGTACTATGTGTGTTCATGTGCATGTATGAGTTCAAGCAAGTCTAAAGGAGCACCATGAGAGTGGGAGCGAGCTTTGGTCTAATTATCTGGTTTTCAATAAATTTGCTCGCCTGACCGCACTGACTGGTTACAAGAAAAGATCAGTCGGAATCTGTTAGTGGTGCTGTTAAGTGATAGAAAAGAGTACTTGAGAATGATTTTCGGAGAAAAAGTCCTTGTTCTAATACTCCTCATTTATCTATTTAGAGTACAATTACTCACGGAAGCAATCAAAGTGTAAGCTGCTATTAATTTTATGACTAACAGCGTGGAAAAAAAAGAAAGAAAAGATAAAGAAATATATAAAACTAGCGCAATCAAAAGACAAGCGCCTGATTCGCAACGATACACAATTTCTTATAGACAAGAAAATACTATATATGCGTACCTATATATATATATATATATATAAAATAAAGCATTATATTATATTGTAAAGGTTTTCTCAACATCAAGTATTGATGGTTTTTACAAGATGTATATTTCCGTAAATTTCGTAAAAGCGCGCGTTGCTCTTGTCGTTATCCTTCCACGCATCAAAACAAAGAAAAAAATAGAAATGTGTTAATGGTAACATTTTCGTTTTTTATCCTCATTTCTCGCCTGCAAATAATGTATATATAATAATTACGTAAGTTGGGCGTATACATTTGTGCGTCCGATGTAAGGAAACGCGGCACATCGAGAGATAAAATCCACTTGAACTGTTCTTAACCTTGCAAAATTTTATAGCTGCTTTCAAACAATTATCAGTGCATAACATTTGACCTCGTAATTGCAATCGATCGGCCAGTTAACGAATTGAAGTAATACCGTAAATTATCCTGAAAAGAGCGAAAAGTCTGTTTCTTGGTATGGTGCAAAAACAGTCGATTGCTTTTTCCAGCAACGAGACAAAAAGCAGCAGACTTTAACAAAAGCCACTTTAATTTTCGCAGCAGGCGATTAATTCGTTTTCGTACGCTCACGAGAGCCATCAGTTTTGTGCTTTATTTCCATGATAAATAAGCATTCAATCCACACTTGTTTAAATAACAATATTCAAATTTAATTTTCGTAACTCTATCGTGCGCGCATGCGGGTGCCGACGAGTACTTATAAATATTGATTTGATGCTTATTTTAATAGTTATCACTTAGCGTTATAAGTAAATCAATTGAGTAAAAATAAAAAGGGTACATAGTAAGAAACAGAATGCAAAATATATGTTTACATATACACAGAGTGTATCTCAAAAAACGCCCACTAACCATATCGCGCTATTCTTGGTCAAAAACTGAGGTTACAATTTATGAATCATTTTGCAATGTTTGTAATTTTGTTTAGTTATTCGGATTATTCCATAAATAAAATGTCTAAAATTGATGCATAAGGCTCACCATATTCCGTAGTAGGCTACAAGACGCAGGACGCATCGAAATTGGAAGAACTCCAATTTTCGCGTTCTGCGTCGATACGAATGCATCATTCAACAAATATGATTGCGATAAGTATTTACATGCCATGTCTGATTGAATGACAGATTGTTTGCGGCGAATCTATGTAGAGACATAGATGCAAAAATTTTACGATTTGCGACTTACGTTCTGCGTCCTGCGCTTTGCGTTCAGTATTTTACATTCCATGTAGAATGAGCTTAAAATAAAAAATTTTTAAGAGAATTCATCTTCAAAATATTTCATAAAGAACACTTAAAAATATCTCAAAATTGTCTTATCGTCGATTTTATCCGCTTATTTGACAATCTTTAAAAACCAATATCTCGTTATTGCAAAAATTGCAAAATGGTCCGTCAATTTTAGACTCAGTTTTTGATGAGAAATAACGTTATATGTTAAAAGATTTGCTTGATTTACGCTCCAGTCTTAATCCTAAAATCCTAAAATTCAGCCAGTAGGGCTACCAGTCCTAATTGATCCTAACCGAAATCTGTATCCATTGGCTGAATTTTAGGATTTTAAGATTAAGATCGACGCATAAATCAGGCATTATCAAACTGAGGACTAAGTTAAAAGTAAAGTTAAATTGAAAGTTGTATTTAAAAAAATATTTAACTAAATTAAAATAATTATTATAATTTTTATAATATTGTTTTAACGATTAAAATTAAAAATAACTGCAATATATAGAACATACTATAAATTTAATATTTTACTGGTAAAATAAGTTTATATGAAATAGTAAAGAAATATAATTTTGTAGAAAAAAATATTTTTTTTAAATTGTTTATGACAATAATATAAAAATAATTGTAATTATGCATAATGTAGAATACATGTAGACATAATTGTTATAAATAACTGATAATTTTTAATAGAAGAATAGAATTTTATTTTAATATTATTTCCAAATTTTTCTCATTTAATTTTTCTTTTAAATTATCATTATCACTAGAGAAATCTTTGTTTCTTTCTATTCAAAATAACAAAGTTACATGATAGTAATGACAATCGTGATTGACATGGAAACTCATTGTCTAATGTTTAAAATTTTATGGAAGAAAATAATATTGTAGTTTTCTTAGAGAGTAAAAACATTTTTAATTTCGAAAAAATTAATATGTTTAAAATAACTAGTTGAAGTTAAAAGTTAATTCATTGAAAAATAACTAAGCTGCGTCATATTAATTGTTTAACTTTATTACATAACTTCTGTCTTTTTTTAACTGATCACAAGGTCCAAAATAGATGACACAAAGTCTAAAGTGGAGACATAAGACGTCTAACCCGGATCTACAATAGATTTTTAAGCCTTAAGCCATAAGAAATGGACGAATCATAGTTAATTGTTTTCCTTGCATTTGACTGTAATTGGTAAATTTCTTACGGCTTGAGGCTTGAAACACCTATTGTAGGTCCGAACTTAACTACCGGCTTATTGTAGAATAAGCATAAAGGAATATTGAAGTGATGAAATTGTTAATATATTGCAATCGTATAAAAAAATCTC